GAAAAAAAAAACGCAACGCGAAAAAGAAAAAAGATTTTCTTTTAAACACGTGTTGAAATTGAACAAAAAGTGAAAGCCCTCTCTGTTTCATAATTTATTTCTCACTATACTCGTACATGATAAAAACACACACTTTGCATAATGCGGAAGGCAATGAAAGGTTCGATAAGTGGTATTATTTTAAAAGCGTAACAAAACCCAGCCGACTCAAAAAAAAAAAAGAAAATCGGCAATTTATGTCACAGTTGTTCGTGGAGGCATGTTTGGGGATTTTTACAAAAGTTGGAGCGACAAATAATAAATATAGTTATAATGTCGTTTTAGCTACTTGCACATACGTATATCACGACAAAAATATGGACGCTCTCTTTTGAATGCTTTGAGAATAAGAGTGATCAAAATACGCCACACACGACAATCGTCAAAACCTCGTCGTTCTTTACTGCTTCTTTGAGAATATTTTTTCTCAGGAACTAAATATGTCAGAACATTAAAATAAAAGGGATTGTTCCTCTTCAAATATGCGCCACAAAATATAAAAATCTGAAACAAAATAAAAAAAATACGACTGCACCTCGTTGCCTGAATTCAAATAAAACCACTCCGGTGGTTTCATCTCAAATCGGGCAGGCTAAAAGTGTCTATTAAACGAGAGAGAGAGAGAGAGAAGAAATTTTATAAAAGCCTAATAAGGTCCAGAACGTTGTGTTCCTTCTCTTACGGCCGGCGTGGTGCCTCCCTTGCAGAGTGGCCGGGCGGACTGGGCCGGGCGGCGACTTGCTCGGCTCTTGTGACCGCAGCGAGTTGGATAACGCAGTCGGACCTGAGCAGGAGGGTCGTCCACAGAGCGTCTCGTTGTGTCAAGTGTCGTGTGAGGGAAGAGGGTGGGGGATCGACCGGGTGGTGCCAAGATATTTAGATGGTGTGAGAATTTATCATTCAACCGTAATAGGCTGTAAATGAGTAGCCACTCCTGTTTACTTTGAACCGTTCTATATAGAAACGATTTTTGACATATTGCGAGGCCTTTTGATTTGTATATACTTGTTACTCATTGTTTTGTAGTCTGCTTGTGTGCTTTCTCCCTTATTTCCAGTTTTAAATTTACAAAAAAATATACGAAGTTAGCCAACTTTACGTTGCTTTTTGAAAACGCAAACAAAAATAAAAACATATTCGAAATTGTAGAGGCGCACAATGCCGGGAAGGTAGATGTATTTTTGTCAAATTAGCGCACATTTCACGCGATTGCGGCTGAAATAGAGGAAATACAACCAAAATATTGCATTTCTAGGTTGTTTTTTCCTTGTAGTGGACTATTATATCTAAAAGAATTAAAAAAAAATTAAAATTACAAAAATGGGGTTTTTGAGAAAATCGATCTGAAACCTCCAACGCTTGCTATTTTTCACAACGTGTACGTGAAGGTAGCGGAGCGGCTAGTTATCAGATAATAATGATATCATTAAATATATTAGGGGCTTGCTTTGGGCCTTCTATAGAGTTAAAGAAAGAAAATTTAAATTAAGTACAAACAAAGTAATGACCTGTCAAAATTCACCAAAAATCGACCTGAGACGAGTTTGACATTTTTTTTTTTTTTAGAAAACAATAAAATTCGTAGCAATATGTGAATACGTCAAGGTATCTTTATAGTGGCTATTAAATGAGGGGAAAACGTTAAAATTGTAGAGAAAAAAGACTAGCGCCAGGAGAGTGTGTCGAACATGCGACCTGCAACGGCAGGCAAAAATACTAGTTACTGCCACTGCGGCTTCTACGCTTCGTAACTCCAGAACAAAACATCTGAGGAACATGTGGTTGGCGCCCTCCTTCATTTCAGAAATGACCCCAAAACATACATTTTTGTCGTAAAAATTAAAAATTAGACCCTTTTAGCCTGCCCGATTTGAGATGAAACCAGCGATCTATATATAAATATATATATATATATATATATTTTTTTTTGTGGGGGCACGTATTTGATGACACTGATAAAAAAGATATATTGTGTACGTGATTCAAAAGTAGAACAAGCCTTTCGTGAAAATTTGTTTTATTTTTTGCAGCTCACTTAAAAGAAGAATAAAAAATTGTAAAGCGGTGCCGCGCTATACAAGCTGGAGTCTTTTCATCTGGGCGACAAAATTTAGTACATTTGGAAACGTGGCATCCGGTGCAAAGAGGACGTTCGCCGCACCTGTCCTCTGCAGGTTCTTCTCGACAGCTGCGATGAAACAGTTCATACTGTGCTTTTTATTTACTTTTTTTGGCAAAGCTACAATTGCAATAACAATATGGATCAAAGTAATCACCTTTGTAAGATATCTACAGTGCACACGGCTTACGGGTCCCCGTCCGCCTTTTTATGTACAGGGTGTCCCTGAAATACATTTGCAGGGTTGTTTTCACAGCAAAACCAAACTAGGCACCGCCGAATGCTCATTCTGCGCCCAAAGGTAGCGCTAGAGGTTCGAACCAGATGCCGAGGTTTCAGCGCGAACCGATAATACATGCGAAAGTTATAAACGATTTTCTGAAAATGTCAATGGGAAAATGGTGGCGGACGAAGCTCTCTTATACATGGTGCTCTATGCCGCCACAAACCGAAAACGGGACAAAATAAGCCCTATTTTTCCATTGAAATTTTCAGAAAATCCCTTATAACTTTTGAATAAAATATCGGTTCGCGCTGAAATTTTGGTGTCTGGTTCGAACCTCTACCACTACCTTTCAGCGGAGAATGAGCGTTCGGCCATGCATAGTTTATTTTTGCAGCGAAAAAATTTTGTAATTCGGTTTTGGGACACCCTGAACGAACGTGTACAGTATTCGGCCACCATGCTCTTGATATTTACTGGTACCGAAAACGACGCTAACCGAGAGTCGCTAACACACGTAAACTAGATTGGAAAAAAAAAAAAAAAGGTAGAGATGGGCTTATACCGGTTCGAATCGAATGATTTCTCTTCCACTGCGAAGATTATGAATGGCGCAGTGCTATTCAATTAAAACTGGTATTCCTACACCCCTACAAGATTCTGAAAATCGTCCACCCAATCGTGGTTACTTCTGGTGTGCTGAGAATCTCTCAAATGTCCTATTTTTTCTTTATTCTTTACAACGATAGTTGTTATAGCGTCTTCCCGCCAGTGGAAATGACGTCTCTTGTTGATGTTGTAGTTGTAGTTATACTTGAAGTTGACGTAGGGGGTGTCCGTCGTCAATGTTGAGGATCGCCCGACTCCCGCTGGTATTGAACGGTCTGCGGCGTGAGAAGCGGAGGCATTAAGCTACGCCACAACTTTTTCTTGTTTTTTTCAGCTCAAATTTGTTTACATTTACTTAGCGCATTTACAGTCAGTGGGTCATTTACAGTCAGCTTAGTTAATAAAATATTCCAAGCATATCCCTGATTGGCGAGCGTCGCGAAAACCTTTGCGGAACCTCTGTGAGAGGACAGAGACGTGGCGAGCCTGAGTTCAGCACGGCCCGGCTCCCGCGCGGGCGGACACGCCGGTCTCGGAGTCGCCATGCCTCCAAACGGGATTCCAACACGGAGCGAGTTCGCTTCAAAGGTGAATAGTATATCGACAAATGAAACCCTGCTTCCACTTGTTTTCTTCTACAGGTGCTCTTCCATCGCAGCATTCAAATTTGTATATAAAAAGATTTCCTCGATTTATTAAATATGGTATTCAGGAAAATACAAATGTAACGTATATGTAACGATACGTTTAATTTTTTGTAACTGTAATGGGAACGAGTTCCTTCTTCACATATGAAACTTGTAACGGGAACGCGTTCCAAAAGTCAGATGGAACGAGGAACGATCTTTCGTTCCTTTTTTCGAGGCACGTGTGCAACACTGCATACCGGGTATCTGCAGGAGAGAAAAAAAGTAAAGCAATACGGTACCACCCCTCGTAGTTCTTGTAAACTCTTTCTAATAAAAGAAAAAAAAAAATAGTTTTATACGGAAAGATTTTGCAAATCATATAAATTTTGACGTCTTAATATTACGTTTAAAAGTCTCAACGGTAGCTAAAAGAGACCCACCTATCTATTTTATGATTGTACTGACATAGGTAGAGGTCCGTAGTATTACTTCCTATTTTATTTTGTAAAATATAAACGACTGCACGCGTACTGACCTTGTTAGTCAAGGACCGTGGCGTTCAACGGATTATAAAATGTTTTTCTTGATTGGAAATTTATTGACCGAATTGTGTCTATAGAAACACCCCATTAAGATAATAAGCCAAATTCATTATTTCAGGTACGACAAAAAAAAAAAAGAATAAATAGAGGATCGTAGCTTGAGGCCAGGTTTGCTGGGGAGGTGCTTTCTAACAGTGTGGAGAGGATTTGGATTGGGAAAGGGGGACGGGGGAGGGCATGTATTACGAAGATAAGCATTATAATCTGTACATGGTTATTTTTATGAGATTTTATTTACGCAAACATACTTTAATTGAGTAATGTTTTTTTTTAAATTCAGTAGACGCTGAATCTGAAGCTTTGAAAATCTAAATTTTTTACCCTTTATTTTTATATAACTACATAACCTACTGGGGAAAAAAAAGGCCAAATCGAGCAGAGCTATGCCACATCATGGGTTTGGCTCTGTTCGTTAACTCCAATTAAGAGCAGCAAAGAACGCTGTTAATTAAACCAGCAGGTACGCGCGACAAAAACCCAAATTTAAAATACGAATCATCTAAAAACCAATTATACCAAATCGAAAAGCGATTTCCGCCGATACAAGAGGGCCCGCTCAAATACCACAATCCAGATGCGCACTTGCACACGCGAAAGTGAATAAGTAGAAAATGTTCATAGCTCTCAACATCCTGACATCCCCCCCCCCCCCCCCCCCCCCCGCACATTTCGTGCCCTGCACGCGAGTGGGTTAGCTGCAGCTGGTTTTTAGTCCTCTGCTCATCACCCAAGGAAGCGCAGCGTTCGAACGAAGCGTCAGGTCGCAGCTCTGGCCTGAAATGGAGACAGCCAATGAAAAAGGGTCCGCCGTGCGAGCCTGGTACCTCGACGAAGCGGAGAAGATGCTCACCGTGGAGGAACTGCGCGACCAGTTGGGAGTCAGCTATTATCGCGTGAGTCTTGCCATATTAACGGGCCGCATGTGCGCGGGAAGGTTCATGTCGACATTTTATTTGGTCTGTGCTAGCGAATCACGACACGAATATTTCGACATTACACAGAAGGCGCGAAAGGTCCCCACGGCTTTTATTCGCTTTCATGAACTAAAGAAGAAGCTCGGAAAGACAATTAAGATTGCTTGCGTGTAGGAATGCGAAGGCATTCCTACACGCATTGCATTCCTACAAGCAGCGCCACGTCTTCCTTTCTCACACGGCGCTCCGGCGATGACATCAGGCTCCCTCACTGCGCAGGCGCGGCGGCCGCCGCCGGCTCCACGACTTCCCTGACGATGCATTTGCGTTACTGTGCTTTTCTTTGTGTTTTATTTCTGAGGCGCGTCCTCTTTGACCTTGATCGGCCCCGTCGGCTTCCTTGACGAAGCATCTGCGTTGTGCTTTTGGCCAATTAAGGGCTCGTTTTGCTGCTACAGACAACGCCGACTTCTTTCCATAAAACAGTTAATGCTTCCCATTAAAAAAAAGAAAGAAAAAATACCGTCCTTTTTTATTATTGTGACAAAGGTAGTGGTACACTCCAAGGAATTCCTGCGCGTCTACTTACTCGCAAAACACTCAAAGATCCAATCTCTGCGATCTACGAAATCAGCTCAGCGAATGATGAGGCGGACCGTCTGTTTAGACCTAAAAAAGAAGTCTGCGCTGCGGCATTACGCAATGCAAAGCGTCATGCTTGCATTGCGTAATGCCACAGCGCAGACTAAATTTTAAAGTCAAAATAGAAGCTCCGCCTTATCATTCACTGAGCTGATTTCGTGGATCGCAGAGATTGGATTTTTGAGTGTTTTGCGGGTAAGTAGACGCGCAGCCATTTTAGAGAGCAGCTGTTAGGCGCCCGTTCCCGGCTTGAGCGGCGTCGGCTAAACCGTGAGGTCACGTGACCCCTCCCCAGGTCACGTGACCCTCAAGGTCACGCGACCCCCCAAAGCCACGTGACCCCCCCCCCCCCCCCCCCAGAACACGCAACCCTCAGTACCCTTTCCTCCTCCTCCTCAAGAGGTCTGCTCTAATTCGGCGTTACAGGGAGTTGTAAACGGCTTTCGTTTGTTTAGAGCGTAGCACAGCACGCGAAGCAGCGTTTAGCTAGACGGGACCGCAGCGGCGCTGTTTCTGGCGCCGTAGTGACTCCGGGGCCATAACTCTGAAAACCAGATATACCAAAAAAGAAAAAAGGTAAAAAAAAAAAAAAAAAAAAAGCGCTCCCTTGTTGCGAACGCTGAAAACGCAGAGCTCGCTCGTTTAGCGCGTGCAAGGACTATTCGCCTCGAGATTCGATCGACACGGCTCATGTGGTGAAAAGCAGAACTACGCTTTGTTTTACACTTCCTTGGAGCAAAACGAATGCTACGCACGCGAGGCCAAAGCAATGGGAGGCGCCAATGCAGGGTTCGCGCACTGGAATGAACTGCTAAGAGCTCGGGCTCTGTACCCTTGCCCGTGGTCTGTGTCATTAGTATGGAGGCTTTGTATCCAGGGTTGGGCAGAAATACTCAAAAATGTATTTGGAAATACAAATACTGGGATACATTAAAATAGTAGCTAAAATACTGATACTAAGATACATCTGTAAAAATGTATCGCGATACGTATCGGAAATACATCTTAAAAAGAGGCGAAAAATATTTGGAAATACAAATACAGGAATACATTTTAGGGAGGGCAGAAATACAAATACAGAAATACAGATAGTGCAATACATTTTTCAAATTTTTTAAGACGCCAACTGAGATGAAGCTTCAAGTTTGAAGTGGATGTTTTCGATCCCGAAATTACTTTCCTCTAGGCTTGGCACTCTGCCTTGAAAGCGGTGGTTTCGGACGACAAGGAGTCTTCAATGGACCCAAAAAGCGTTCCATCAAGGGCTGACCGCGGTCCCTTCCATGACATCCTGTCTATCTGACGAGGGAATTCTGTCAACATTGATCACATGATGTAACGGTGGAATGAACTAGTATTCTTTATCTGTAGGTGTGGCCTTGAACATGAAACTTTACCACGCTGCTGTATGAAAGGACAATACGTACTTTCGTTGTAGGTTACCTAGTTGAAGATCGTGCATGCTGTCATTTGGAATTTTTGAGAATAGTGGACCACTTGAAGCATCTTGGAATGCAAGTCTTATCTTCTGTTACGGTTGAAAAAATGATAAGGTAGCATCCCTGTTCTGAAGGTACTTACTACCGACCCTCCGCCACCGACGCACGGATTGCAGTCCTCAAGTTTTGCCTAGCATTATCCAAACAGAGACCTCGTGGATTGCGAGCTGATATTGCCGGCACAGGTGCCAGCTGTCCGAGAAACAGCGCGTTTGAGACGAGTCGCGGGAGTACGTAGTCTCGGATGGCACAGCGAGGCCACTTCTGGCCTCCTTCTGGGTTTCCGATCACCAGAGCAGCGGGTCACGTACACGTCGGCTGACCCTTGAGCCGCACAATGTTACGGGCGCAGCCGCAGATGCATTCGAATATGTGTTGAACTTCACAGCGTGAAGGGCCGCCCACACTAGCGAGAAAACGCGCGTGGCACGCCGATCGCGGCAAGTAACAAAATGTCACCGAAGCACAGTCAGCGCCACGAGCGCGTGCAGAGACACGCCCTTTATCTTCCCGCTTAACCGATTTATCGGCGCGCCGGGCGCGTTTTCTCGCTAGTGTGGGCGGCCCTTAAGTCCTCCTACTATTTCAAATCAACCACCGCCAGGCTCGTGCTGCAACGGAATGTGACTCAGCTTTGCCGGCTGGGTGTGCTATGTACGCTAAGGCGAGAGAGACGGTTAGCAGCGGGCGTTGGATGCCAGCAAACAATATGACTCAAGAAATCCCTACGTAAGGACCTGCGACAGAAGATGCTCTGACTCCACTCCTGGCACGCCACCTGGTTCGAGTCCCCGACTACGCAACACTTCTCGGATCACCGAACCCTTATTCTCCGCCCAAAGGTAGCGCTAGAGGTCGGAACCAGGTGCCAAAGTTTCAGCACCAACCGTTATCTTATTAAAAAAGTTATAAGCGATTTCCTGATATTTTTAATGGGAAAATGGTGGCCGATGAATTCCTTATAAGTTATAACACACGGAGTTCTATTGCGCCAGTTACCGAAAACGGGCAAAAATGGGCCCCATTCGACCATTGAAAATTTCAGGAAATTACTTAGACCCTTTCAATGAGACAACGGTAAGTTCCAAAATTTCGGCATCTGGTTGGGACCGCTAGGGCTACATTTGGGCGGAAAATGAGCGTTCGATGATGCATAAAATAGTTTAGCGGTAAAAGAAAACAAGGAAACCCAGGAAATTTCTTTGGGGATCACCTTGTGTACGTACCTAACCAAGAGGTGCACATTTCAAACGCCAAAAGCATTTCTTCCTCCCACAACCAAATCGTGCAAAAACTACTCGCGCGATGTACGCAGAATGCGCAAAACTATGCCCAAGCAAAGGCGCCCCCCCTTCTTTCCCCGGTCAGCCTCCTCTGCTAACATTTGAGGAGGCTGAACGGTTTGGTTTAAAACAAACCGTCTCAAGCAAAGCGGAAAAAGCTCTTCCCCGTGAAAAGGGCTTGGTAAACGAAGCTTGTGCACAACAACATACAAGATGGCGAAGTTGTTGTGGTAGCACTCCATCTCGAACCCAGAAGCGTCAAACATTACGGCATGTGCCCTACGAAAAAAAAAAAAAAAAAAAAAATTGATTTCGCCGCAACGAAGACACTTCTTGGTCAGGCGTTGGGTTTGAGTTTTCTTGGGCCCCACTATATATAGTGCAGACATGTACAGTCTTTTTCAAAAGTTTAGAGCCGTACCTCGCGCATGGCCGGAGCGAGCCAACACCACCTAGACAGAAGGCCTCCACACGCGTCATCATAGTCAGATCGATCGAGGCGAGAGATTGGGCACGAGTGCTGCGTCAGTGTTCGGCTGCGGCTCGTGGCCAATCAGCGCGTCGAAGGTCGGGCTCGGGTCCAATAGCCGACCGAGCGCGATCCGACTGTGATGACGTTTCATAGGGGAAGAGGAAACCATGCGGAGGCCTTCTGTCTAGGTGGTGTTGAGCGAGCTCGCTCCCGTGCAGCGGCGCTCTTATCGCTGGCGCTCCCTGGCTGTGAGATTTTTGAGAGCGAGGCGGTACTTCGCTCTCGCTATTTCGCGCCACTTTGTTATCAAGGCGAGCGCGACGCGAGAGCCAAGTTCCCCCTTGCTCTAAAAATCAGCCAGGGAGCGCCGACGATAAGAGCGCCGCTGCACGGGAGCGAGCCCGCTCCTCCAGCCATGCGCGAGGTGGGCTCTAAACTTTTGAAAAAGGCTATACGTAACGCGTTGCCAGTAACGAGTTACTTTTTTCGGTGACGAGTAAGTATTCAGTTACTTTTTTTAGAAAGGAACGAGTAACATACTTAGTCGCTTTTAAGGTCACGTAACAAGTAACGGTATTTGGTTACTTTTGAGGAGTAACATCGTCGTCGACAACACCGCTTAAGCAGCCTCGCTTTACTGCTAACCTGAGCCTACTTCTATTGCTACAAAAGCAGATTTCCCGAAAAAAAAACCAACAAACAATTACTAAACAGTATGGTAGTGCCCGTTACAACGAGACCGGTTATAACGAAGTCGATTATAAGGAAATAGCGGCTACAGCGAAGCGATCACGATTTACCATTCCCGTTCGCACTTTCTCAATGCATTTGTGTCTGTTTTTAGCAAAGAAAATTGAACGGCTCCCGAAAATAAAAGAAGAATTGTAATTAAAAAAAAATCGCAAAGTTTATTAAGTTTCGCACCGCCGCACTTTGCTGCATTGGCCAAGAAGTCACCCACAACAGGCTGCAGAAGATGCTGGAAAGGCCGCCGGCGACAGTCTCTGCAATGCCGTCTGCTCCTCGCTCCTTATCTGGAAAGCGGCTCTACCGCACCGCACGCTGCTGAGACAAGTAAAAAGG